AGCCATTCCCTAGGACAGGTGTCCCCACACCTGGTGTCCCCACGGCCGGTGTCCCCCTCATGCCGTGTGCCGGCCCTGGCGCCGCTTGATCTTCCTCTTGAGGAGCAGGAGGTCCAGGTAGAGCAGGCGGCCCAGGACAGCCGAGGCGCAGAGCAGCCCCCCATGCACAGCCCCTGCCAGCCCGCAGGAGAACACGTCCTGCCCTGGGGACAGGCCACCGTGGGACACGGCCACCCCTGGGGGGGACATGGCCACCACCAGGGAGGACATGGCCACCCCCAAGGAGAACACGGCCACCACTTGGGGACAGGGTCACCACCATGGGGGACATGGACACCCCCAGGGGAACACAGCCACCTCCATGGGTGGCACAGCCACCCTTGGGGACCCAGTCACCACCCTGGGGGACATGGACACCCCCAGGGAGGACCTGGCCACCATCATGGGGGGGGGGCCCATCTGGTCATCCTTATGGAGGACACAGCCACACCCAGGGGGCACATGGTCACCCCCGCGGGGGACCCAGCTACCACTCTTGGGGATGTGGCCACCACAATGCAGACCCAGCCACTCCTGCGGGGAACCCAGCCACCATCATGGGGGGCGTAGCCAACTCTGGGGGGGACATCGAAGCCCTCATGGGTGACCAAGTCACCACCGTGGGTGACACAGCCACCCCTGGACAAAACAGCTACCCCTTGGGGACCTGGCCACCATCGTGGGGGACTTGGCCACCACCACAGGGGACATGGACACTCACAGGGAGGACCTGGCCACCACCACGGAGGACATGGACACTCTCAGGGGGAACAGAGCCATGCCTTGGGGACTTGGCCACCACCATGGTGCATCCAGACACCCCTCATGGCAGGGAGCCCCTGGGGACACATCCACAGCCTGGAGCTGGTCATGGGGACAGCAAGACAGGGGGACATGGCAACACTCCTCCCTCACCTGTCAGGTAGAGGTTCCTCACGGGGGTGTCGGCTCTCAGGGTGGCCATCACAGCGGGGCAGAAGCGGCCCAGGTCGTGCTCGGCGCCATACATCGCCCCGTGCGGGGCCGCCAGGTAGTGCTGGTTGGTAAGCGGTGATGCTGCCTCCATGAACTCCACCTGCCCAGGCACAGGGTGCTCGGGATGTGCCAGGGGACACCAGGCATGGGGGGCATGGATAGGCCCATCCCACCCCACAGCAGGTCCCACCACAACAGGTCCCGTGGGGAGGTGCTGGGGCTGTGGAGCCGCATCACAGGGCACCCCGTCCTCGCTGGGCACCCCAAACCCACAGGCACTCTGTCCTGTTGGGCACATTCCCTTCAGGTATCCCAGCTCCAAAGGGTACCCTGTCATCACCAAGCACATCTCTGCAGGGCGTGCTGCTCCCACAGGGCACTCCATCCTGCCTGGGCACCCATCCCATAGGGCACTCATCACACAGGTCATCTTATCCTACCCGAGCACCCAATCTCCACTCTGCACCCATACCCATGGGGTACCCCACCCCTGTGGGACACCTCAACCCGCCTCACAGACCACCCCATTCCCGTGGGGTGTCCCACCCACACAGGACACCCTATTCCCCACTGAACATGCCATTTCCACTGTGCATCTATCCCTGCAAGGTACCCAAACCCCATGGGGTGTCCCACCCACACACGGCATCTTATTCCCCACTGGGCACCCCAAACATGCAGGACACCCAGTCCCCACTGTGCACCCCATTTCCACTGTGTTTGCCCATCCCTGTGGGACACCCCAAATCTCAAGGGACACCCCAAATCTCAAGGGGCACCCCAACCTCATGGGGCACCCCAACTCCACAGCACATCAGGATGCTGCATCCCTACACTCCCTCCCCTCTCTGGAAATCACTCTGTGCCCATCGTGCCTCCTCCCCTCTGGGCACCCCCAGGCGTGGCAGGGCTCCCCGTGGGGTCACCTTGTCCCTCAGGTGTGGAAAGCGGAGCAGGGCCCTCTCCAGCAGCCGCTGGGCAATGGACATCTTGTACTGCTGGTAGTCGGAGCTGCGGTGCCTGGGGAGGCTCCCGGCCCACTCCTCGAACCACTCGTACCGTGCCATGGTCAGGATGGTCATGCACGACTGGCCTGGGAGGGGGACACAGCTGGTGACACCCCCTGTGCCACCACAGGACCACAGTGGGGGTGCCAGCCAGAGACATGGCGACAGTGGTGGTGCCCACCTCGTGCTGGTGGCACTGAGGAGCCTCTGACCCCTCGAAGCTGAGCGGATCAGGGGTGCAGAGCTGGGGGGGCCTTAGGGGTCCCCAGTGCTGTACCTGGGTGCCGCTGCTCGTAGGTGGGGTCCTTGGCAGCGGGGAAGGTGATGAACATCATGGCCAGGTTTTCGGGGACATCGTCACGGCTCAGGGCAGCGTATTGGGTCATCCTGCGGGCAGAGAGGGTTGTGATGTACCCACCGTGCACCCCCTGTGCACCCACCCACCCACCCACCCTGTGCCCACCATGCACCCCCCGTGTGCCCACCCACTCATCATATATCTACCCACCCACCATGCACTCCCTGGGCACCCACTCACAGTGCAGGCTCCACACATCCCCCATGCACCCACCCCACTCACCACGCACAACCCTGTACCCACCCCATCCACTGTGCTCCCCCAGGCACCCCTCATGCACCCACCCTGCGTGTGCCCACCCACCCGCCGTGCCCCCCCCCCGCCCCCTGTGCCCACACCAGGGTGCCAGGACCCCTCACATGGTGTCCAGGTCGTTGTGGGGGTAGATCCAGAAGTTGGTGGGGGGCAGGCCCAGTTCGGCTGCGCTGCCCCGCAGCCCCACGAACACCAGGAAGGAGCCCATGCTCGGCCGCACCATGGCCAGGCGGGATTGGACACCTGCGGGGACACGGGGGTGAGACCCCGACCCTGCCTGTACAGGGGATATGGGGGTGACACCCCGACCCTGCCTGTACAGGGGATATGGGGGTGATACCCCAGCCCTGCCTGCACGAAGGACATGAGACTGCTGGGAACATGAAGGTTCTGGGGATGCCAGGGACACTCGGGACATACAGACACAGGGATGCTGAGGACAACAGGGGTGCTGGGTTCTCTGAGGACACTAGGGGCATGGAGATGCTGGGAATGTGGGCATGCTGGGAACACTAGGGATACTGGGAACACTAGGGATGCTGGGGACACTGAGGACACTAGGGACATGGGGATGCAAGTATGCTGAGGACATCAGGTGTGCTAAGGATGCTGGAGATGCTGAGGACAGTGGTGATGCCAGCGACACCAAGGACACCAGGGATGTTGAGCAACCCTGGTGATACCGGTAATGCTGGGGACACTGGTGATTCTGGGGACACTGGGGACACCAGGGACATGGAGATGCTGGGGACATGGGAACACAGGGATGCTGGGGACACTGGTGGTGCTGGGGACACAGGGATGCTGCAGACACAGGGATCCTGGGAACACTGAGGACATCAGGGACATGGGGACACAGGGTCACGTTACCGGGGTGGCTGCGGATCTGGGGGGGCAGCAGTTTGCCGAAGGTGTTGAAGATTCCAGCATCGGAGATGACAAGGGGCACACGGATCTCCAGCTCCTCCTTATTGGACCCCACCTGCACCGCCACCCCTGGGGGCCAGGATGGGGGGTCAGGGGACACGGGGCACTGCCACCCCGTCCCCATCACACACATGTGACCCCCCCCCCGGGGCGGGACTGGGGGTCGGGCGCTCACCCAGGGCGGTGCCGGCGGAGCTGACGAGGATGCGCGTGACGGGGGCACGCACCAGCACGGCCCCCCCCGCGCGCTCGATGACGGGCACGGCGTGGAAGGCGATCTCGCTGGCCCCCCCCCGCGGGTACCAGGCCCCCCGCTGGTAGTGGTGAACCATCAGCACGTTGGCCAGGAAGCTGGAGTCCCGCGGGGCCGTTCCTGTGGAGGGGGCAAGGGGGAGGTGGGCACGGCTGGACCCTGCCCCAGTGCAGGGCAGCCCTCCCGTATCGTGACATGCTCTCCCCTGTCGTGACGCGACCCTCCTCACCACTATGTAGCCCTCCCCTCTCATGATACAACCCTCCACTATTGCAACATAGCCTCCTCTGTTGTGATATGCCCTTCCCTATCATGACAAAGTTCTTCTCATCACAATACAGCCCTCTTCTATCATGATACAGCCCTCCCCTATCAAGACACTGCCTCCCCTATCGTGACACAGCCCTTCCCATCATGATACAGCCCTTCCCTATCATGACAAGGCCCTCCTCACCACAATATATCCCTCCCCTATCACAACACAGCCCTCTCCTAGCAAAAAGTGGCCCTCCCGTATCACGACAGAGCATGCCCCTATCACGATGCTGCCCTCCCCTATCATGACACAGCCCTCCCCTATATGACACTACTGTCTTTCTCCACGACGGTGCTCTCCCTATCGCGACAGACCCCTCTCTATCGCAACAGCTCCTGACCGTAGAAGAGGTAGCCGAGCAGGGCGCGCAGGTCGGGGTCAGAGGTGAGCTGGGCCACAGCCTGGCTGTGGCTGGTGGTGGCCAGGCGGAACACGGGGGACAGGAGGGACAGGAGGCTGGAGCGGAGTAGGAGGGTGGCCACCCAGTGCGGGACCAGCTTCAGCACGGCCAGCAGTGCCACGTGCCGCGAGGCCACCTGGGGGACATCATGCCATGTCACTGTCACCACTGACACCATCCCACCCTGCCACCACCACCAGCGTGGGGCCAGCTTCAGCACAGCCAGCAGTGCCTCATGCCCGTGTGGGGTCAGCTTCGGGATGGCCAGCAGTGCCACATGCCACCTGGGGGACGTTCTGCCACTTCACTGGCGCCACTGACACCACACCACCCTGCCACCACCACCAGCATGGGATCAGCTTCAGCACGGCCAGCAGTACCATATGCTGCCAGACCACCTGTGTGACACTGACCTTGTCACCACTGACATCATCCCAAACCACCACTGCCACTGCCACCGCCACCACCCATGTCACCACTGCCTCCGCAAGACCGGATTCGGCACCGCCAGCAGTGCCACATGCCCAAGGCCATGCGCGGGACACCAAGCTAGGCCACTGTCACCACCAACATCTCCTTGCCTGGCCACCACTGTGTCATCAGGACTGTCACTGCCATGACCCCATGAGCACCACCTGTGGCTCAACACCCATACCCACCATGCCTAATGCCCGTGTCCTCACTATGCCCAGGCCTTCCCCCCACCATGCCCAGCACCCGTGTCCCCAGCATGCCCACTACTTGTGTCCCCTCCACACCCATCACTTGTGTCCCCTCTGCACCCACCATCCATGTCCCCACCATGCCCATCACCTGTGTCTCCTCCATGCCCACCACTCTTGTACCCATCATTCCCATCACTTCTGTCCCCTCCACACCCATTACCAGTGTCCCCACCATTCCCATTGCCCCTTCCCCACCATCACCCATGTCCCCACAGAACCCACCAGTCCCACCACCACACCCACGCCCATATTCCAGGCTGATCATTCCCAGCTAGAGTGACCCCATCATCCCTCCCTGACCCTGTGGTCACCTCCCCATGGGGGTGGTGTGTCCCCACCTTGGAGATCTTCATGAACTCCCTGATGGCCGCCTTCTCCGTGGGGAACTGCTCCTCCAGTGCGGTGACAAAGGCCACCTTGCCGGCGTGCAGCTGGTAGCGCCGGGGTCCCAGGGTCACCTCGTCGTAGGGGTCGGGCAGGCGCTGCCAGCAGAGCTGCCCGTCCGTCATCTGGTCCAGTGCCACACGCAGGAGGCTGCCCTCGTGCAGCTGCCCCACGTAGTGGATGCCTGTGGGACAGGGACAGGGCACATGGCAGGGGGAAACCAGGGGGGGTCACATGGACGTGTGGTGGGAGCACCCAGGGGGCAATGGGGGAGAGAAGGGCTTGGCTTTCGCCTGTTGTGGGTCACACTGAGGGTGGGGGGTGGGATGGGCTGCTGGCATGGCATGGATATGGCATGGATATGGCATGGATGTGGCACAGACATGGCATGGACACAGTATGGTTATGGAACACACATGGCACAGATATGACAAGCTCATGACATGGACATGGCATGGGCACACCATGGACATGGCACAAACACAGCATGGTTATGGAACACACATGGCACGGACATGACAAGCACATGGCATGGATACAGCACAGACACAGCGTGGACATGGCATGGACATGGCATGAACACAGCATGGTTATGGAACACATATGGCACAGACATAGCAAGCACATGGCACGGACATGGCTCAGACACAGCATTGACATGGCATGTGCATGGCACAGGCACAGAAAGCACATGGCACGTACACAGAGCACACATGACATGCACATGGCATGGGCACGGCACGGGCACGGCATGGACATGGCACACAGATGCCATCGACACAGCACACATGCAGAGCACACACACTACGTGCCAACAGCACGTGTGTTGTATGCAGACAGTGCACACACACACTGCACACACACCCGCACACACCCCTGCACACTCAAGCACACACACAGGCACTGTGGGGGCAGCAGCGGTGCCAGGGGATGCTGGGGGCTTGGGGAGTGTCAGGGGGTTTTGGAGGTCCTTACCAACGTCAAACTCGATGCCATGCTGCTGGAAGGTGTGGCAGCACCCGCCGGCCTTGTCGTGTTGCTCCAGCACCAGCACCCGCCGGCCTGTCTTGGCCAGGGTGGTGGCCACTGCCAGCCCCCCTGCGCCACTGCCGATGACCACGGCGTCCAGCTGCTCCGGCACCCGCTGGGGGCTGAACCCTGGGCACAGGTGGGGGATTAACCACTGCCCATGGCCACCACTGAGCACTGAACCCTGCATACATGTGTGGGATTAACCACTGCCCATGGCCACCACTGGGCACTGAACCTGGGCACACACATGTGGGATTAATGACTACCCATGGCCACTATGTTCAGCCGCTCTGGCACCTGCTGGGTGCTGAACCCTGGGCACACACGTGTGATCAGCCCCTGCCCGTGATCACCACCAGACACCCTGAACCCTGTGCAGGCACAGTGCACCTGACAGTGTGCTCAGATCCCACAGTGACCCTGCAGTGCCCATGTCCAGCCACTCCGGCACCCACAGGACACCGGAGCCCTGCACACATGATCAATCACTGCCCACGGGAACCCCATCCAGCCTCTTTGGCACCTGCCGGGTGCTGAACCCTGGGCACAAGCATATGATCAGCCCCTGCCTGTGGCCACCACTGGGCACTGAACCCTGTGCACACACACCTGCTCAGCCTCTGCCCACGATCCCCACTGGGCACTGAGCCCTGTGCACATGCTCAGCCCCTGCCAGTGGCCATCCCTGGGCACCCTGTGCACACGCGTGTGCTCAGCCACGCTGTCACAAGCAAGAGGCAACATGAGGGCACACAATGGGCAGCACGCCCAGCATTCCACAGGACAGATGGACACACAGACAGACAGATACCCGACGGACACTCAGCACTCACCCCGCTTCAGCACCCTGTCCCGGGCGCGTTGGTCTGTCACCAGTGGCCTGGGGGGCTCCAGGGGTGGCCCGGCAAAGGGGTTGCCGGACGGGGCCAGCAGCTTGTGGGCCACTCGCCCCAGAGCCAGCACACCCAGGGCTACCAGCAGCAGCAGCGTGGGCCACATGGCTGTCACCACAGGTGGGATGGACAGGTACCAACACGGTAAGGACACACTAAAGCCCCGCACGTTTGGCCCCGACACTTATAGACACAGCAGCTTATGGACAAAGGGGATTATGGACAGGCTTACAGACACCCCTGCTTAAAGACACCGGAGCTCATGGACACACCCCCTATGGAAAGGGCATTTTATAGCCACGGCAACCTATGGTAACCTATGGCCACAGCTCCCTGTGGGACCCTATGGCACCCTATGGTCACAGCTCCCTTGGCCATGGCATCCTATGGCTCCCTATGGCTCCCTATGGGACACTATGGCACCCCAGGATGCCCCATGGCACCCTGTGGCACTCTGTGGCACCCCATGACAATGACACCCTATGGCACCCTGTGGCACCCCATGATGCCCTACGGCTCCTTATGTGACCCCGTGGTCATGGCACTCCATGTCAGTCTGTGGCACCCTATGGTTCCTTATGTCACCCCATGGCACGCAGTGGCTCCCCGTGGGAGGTGCACACGCCTGTGCATGGAGCACAGGCGTGTGGGGCACTGGTGTGTTGGGCACTGCACACACACACACGTGTGCACACAGGCAGCTGTGCACACGCGTGAACACCCACACTTGTGCAAGGGAACACACACCCCCTCCACACCTGTGAGAGCAATGGGTACACACACATGGGAGGCACACACACACACGTCTGTGCAAACACACGTGCACACACACACACGCGGGTTGACACACTCAGACACACACACACACATACATCTGTGCAAACACACACATGTGCACCCATGCACACACTGACCCTGTGCAAACACACATGTGCACACACCCCCTGTGAAAACACACACGTTTGTGCACACACAAGTGCACCCATGCACACACTCACTCCTGTACACACACATGCACACACACCCTGTGCAAACACACACGTGCACAGACATGTACGTGCACACACATGTACACCTGTGCACACACTCACTCCTGTGCAAACACACACATGCACACACACATACATCTATGCAAACACACACGCACAGCCACACACAATCCCCCACACTCCCCTTTCCCCTCCCCCTGTGCCTGCAGCTCTGCTGACCTCTCCCGGCAGCACCAAGGAAGGGCCTGTCTGTGCACCGTGACACACGCACACGTGTGCACACCCATGTGCACCCTATGTATACCCCATCCCAATGCCCCCCACATTCACCACGAGGGACAAACCCACCATTTTTCTCTCCTTTAATAAAATCCACAGCAGAGTACCAAAAGGGAGCAAGGGGGGACAGGGAGGGGCCGGGGAGGTGAGGTGGGGGACATGGGGCAGGAGGGACATGGGGGCACACCCTGCACTACTCGTGTTCCTGTCCCTTGGGGTCACCCCATATGTCATCACCCCCAGTCCAGACACCCCCGGCGAGCCCCGAGCCACAGCCCCCCACGGGGTTAATTACAGGGTTAATTAAGAATTATTACAGGGAGGAACCCGAGCGGGGAGGGGGGAAGGAGGGGTTATTGCTACCTGGGGAGCAGGAGGGGGGCCACAAAGGACAGCGAGGGACCCCCCACCCCGGTAAAGGGAAAAGGGGGCCCCGTGGGGGGGTTGTGGCCTGGGGGGGTGGAGGGGTGGGCCAGGACACTTGGGGCCACAGCAGCTTCTAAGGCTCCAGCTGGGTGTAACCCCCCCCCCCAAAACCCCATAGCCCCCCCGACCCCAATCCTGGGGGACAGGGTGGGCTTCCTCATGGGGAAACTGAGGCAGGGGGCTATGAAGAGTGGGGGGGACCCCTGTCCTCCCCATGTCCCCCATCTGAGAAGTGGCACAACCCCCTGGGGTAATTTGGGGAGGGGGTGAGGTTTTGGCAGTGAATTAGCTGTGTGGGTGCTGGGCACAGTGGGGGGGGGGGCTGTGCCCCCCCATGTGGCCCCCAGTGGCTGATTCTGCCTCCCCCCCCCCAAATCTGAGGCTGGGTAGGGGGGAGAGAAGAGTCAGGTTTGGGTTGGGGGGCTCCACAGAGAGCCACACACACACCCCCATGGTGCTGAGCACAAGCTCATCACACCAGTGGGTGAGGTATAACCCCCCTCCACCCCCCACAGCCCTCCTGGGTGGGCTGGGGGGTTGAGGGGAGGGTTTTATGGCCCCCCCTGCAGGGTGGGGTGGTCACTAGTAGACCCAGGTGACAGGCACCCACTGGGGCTGGACACGCAGGTGGTCCATGGCCTCCCGGAGCCTCCCGAAGGTTCGCTCCAGGTCGTCGTTGATGAGGCTCAGGTCAAAGTAGTGCCCGTACCCCCGCTGGATCCGGCTGCTCTCCTCCACCGTCCGCTGGGCATCTGCCTCCTGCACCCCACAACTGCCTCAGGATCCCCACCGCCCCACAGGCATGGCAGAGGAGCACCCTCTGTCCTACTCCTCCCCCAGCAACCCTGCCTCAGTTTCCCCATTGCCCCCCAGTATTGCAGAGGAACACCCACCATCTGCCTTCAGCCCCCCAATCCTGCCTCAGTTTCCCCGTTGCCCTCCAAGGTGGCAGGGGGGACACCCATCGTGAGCTGTATGTTCTTCCTCTGCCCCCACAGCCCTGCCTCAGTTTCCCCATCACCCCCCAGGATGGCAGGGTGACACCCACCATCGACTGCCCACCCACCTCCTGCACCCTAAACCTGCTTCAGTTTCCCCAACAACCCCCAAGGTGGCAGAGGGACACCAACCATGAGCTGTGTGTCCTCCTCCTGCCCCAAAAACCATGCCCTGTTTCCCCATCACCCCTCCATGCCCCCTGGGTAGAGGGAGGACACCCACCATCCACCTCCTGCCCCCCAGACTCTGCCTCAGTTTCCCCATCACCCCTCTGTGACAGATGGGGACACCCACCATGAGCTGTGTCTCCTCTTTGCGCCCCCCAAACCCTGCCTCAGTTTTTCCACTGCCCTCCAGGGTGGCAGAGGGATGCCTGGGCATCTGCCTCCAGCACCCTAAACCTGCCTCAGTTTCCCCATCACCCCCAGGATGGCAGTGGGACACCCACCATCTGCTGCCCACCCACCTCCTGCCCCCACAGACCTGCCTCAGTTTCCCCAAGACCCTGTGTGCCCCCCTGGGGACAGAGAGCGACACCAATCATGAGCTGTGTGTCTTCCTCCTGCCACACAAACCCTGCTTTGGTTTCCCCACTGCCCCCCAGGGATGGCAGAGGAACGCCCACCATCCACCTTCAGCCCCCCAAACTCTACTTCAGTTTCCCCTTTGCCCCCCAGGGTGGCAGGGGGACACTCACCATCTGCCTTCAGCCCCCCACAGCCCTGCCTCAGTTTCACCTTCCCTCAGTTTGCCCCCCAGGCCCCCAGGACACCCACCGTGAGCTGTTTGGTGGCCACACCACTCTCCAGGGCCGCTCGGTTCATGGCCCGCAGGGTCTCGGGGCAGGGGGCTTCGATGAACACCACATATGGCACAAACTCAGCTGTTCTCAGCACCTTCACTGCCTGGGTGGGAGGAGACAGAGTCACCAAAATCCCAGGAAATAAACCCTCTAACCCAGTTTGTCAGGTTAGAGGGTTTATTCAACATTGAGGTACATGGGGATGGCTCCACAAAACCTGTACATCAATATTAAAACTTTTAAGTATTTATACATTTTAGCAAACAAAGGAATTAGTGTTCATTGGCTTATGCAGTTCTCTTCATTAATTATTATTCTATCTTCTATTGGTTATTGATTTCTCATTTCTCACACTAATCAGTCCCCACTTTCAGTATTCTATTACTTTTTCCCAGAGAGGGAGAGTCTCTGGGAAATTATCTGTGTTCGTTTCTTCTTCACCTCTTGTTTCTGTGTCTTTGTGGTTTATACAAATTCTGCATTTGATGTCAACACTAAATTTCTCTCCCAGCTCTAAGAGCACTGAGCCATGTCAGGCCCTAAACTTTCAATTTGTTCTTCAAACACACAGGCATCACCCAGAGCTTGCCCATCATCTGTTATCTATTCCATTAATTAAATCTCCCCTCAACAATTCCCCCCCACGGCTGCACAGGCTGTTCTTTTAAGAAATACAACTTGTTGAGCAACAACAGTCATTATCCCTCTCCCCGTGTCCCCTACCTGGGGGTTGACATCCAGGATGCACATCTTGCCAGCCTCCACCACGGCTCGGATGGAGTCGATCCTGGTTCCGTACAGGTTTCCCTCGTACTCGCCGTGCTCCAGGTACCTCCCAGCCTTGATGTCGGCCTCCATCTCCCCCCGGGACACAAAGCGATAGCCCTGCCCATCCCGCTCGCTCTCCTTCGGCTTCCGAGATGTGTCTGCCGGCAGTGGGGACCCACCTGAGTGACACCCACCCACCCGGGGTCTCATCCCCGGGTGCTCATAGGGTGTGGGAATGATCGCAGGGGACAGGGATGTTCAAAAGGGACAGGGATGCTCACAAGGGACAGGGATGGTTTCAGGAGACAGGGATGCTCACAAGGGACAGGGATGCTCACAAGGGATAGGGATGGTTGCAGGAGACAGGGATGTCCCCAGGAGACAGGGATGCTGGTGGGGTCAGGACAGGGATGCCATCAGGGGACAGGGATGGTCATGGAGGACAGGGATGGTCACAAGAGACAGGGATGCTGGAGTGGGACAGGAATGGTTGCAGGGGACAGGGATGCTAGAGGTGGACAGAGATGATCACAAGGGACAGAGATGCTGGAGGGGGACAGGGATGGTTGCAGGGGAAGGGATGTTCATAAGGATGGTGATGCTCATGGGGACTGTGATGCTCATGGGAATGATGCTGCTGGCAGGGAATAGGAATGCTCACAAGGGACAGGAATGGTCGCAGGGGACAGGGATGCTGGAGTGGACAGGAACGGTCCTGAGGGACAGGGATGCTCACAGGGACAGGGATGCTGGAGTGGGATAGGGATGCTCCCAAGGGACAGGGATGGTTGCAGGTGACATCGATGTTGGCAGGAGACAGGGATGGTCGAAGGGGACAGGGATGCTCACAGATGACAGGGATGCTCACAGATGGCAGGGATGCTCCCAAGGGACAGGGATGATCATGAGGATGGTGCTGCTCACAGGGGACAGTGATCTCGTGGGAGTGATGCATGATGCTGCTGGCAGGGGACAGGGAGGCAGGTGAGGGGCGGTGATGCCGGTGGCTCAGCAATGCTCATGGGGACAGCGCTGCCAGTGGGGACAAGGGCCACTCACAGGGGATGGTGGTGCCGTAACGCGCCTGGTCCGACATGATGAGCTTGTTCTTGAGGCTGCGCCGCCCCACGCCCTGCGCCCCGATCAGCACTAGCGTTTTCCGGCGGAACGGTGGCATCCGCGCCACCTCCTCGTAGATCAGCAGCTCATGCCGGTCGAACTCTGGGTGAGGAGCAGGGTTGGCACCCATCCAGGGAGACACCCTGTCCCCAGGAGGTGCCACCACGAGCACAGCCCCGGGGCTGCTCCCCCCTTCCCTGGGGGAACGCCATCAGACACTCACCGGCGTTCTTCGTCGTCAGGTACATCATCCTCTTCTTCCTCCTCCCGCTGAGACTGCCACACAGGGCCCCTGCGAGGGCAAGGGGCCAGCTGAGCTGGGGACACGGACAGGGACAGTGCCGTGGCACAGGGACAGTGTAAGGGGAGTTGGGACATGCCACAGGGGCAGTGCCATCGG